GTAGACGAATGTCCTCGAGGCCGTCGATCACCACGGGATGCTCGTCCGAATAGCGCTGCACAAGGGGGTGTTCGGGCAGATCGCGCTGGAATATCGGCGACCAGTGCTTGCGCAACTCTTCGAACACGTCAGCCTGCGCATTCACGATTCTTTCCTCTCCCTGTCCCAGGTCATGTGGGCCACCAGAGTCAGGGAGACGCAATCGCTGAAGTTTGAGAGTGCGCTTGAATGGGGCCCAGAGTGCAGCCCTCCTCCTGGTGGCCCTCCTCACGGCGATGATGCGCTTGAAGGACGCGCCGTCAGGAGGAGCCGCCTGGGCCCGACCATCGAGATCAGCGAGTCGGCGTTCAGAGAAGAGGTTCTGCTCAGCCGCGAACGCCGCTGCAAAGTCCGAAGGGTTCGAGATGGAGACCGAATTACTGGTGATCATGAGGTGCTCGGCAGCAAGCGGTGACGATGCGACCAGGCGCTCCGCCAGCTTGAGATCGCCCCTCCAGACCGCTCTGGCGATCGATCGGAAGATGAGCAACTTTGAGTCGTTGTCATGAGCACCGTGCTTAAAGACACTGTCCCGTACTCGACGAGCAGCTTCACGCATGAGTCGCTTATGCTCAAGCCTCCGCTGATAAGGATGCAGAACATGCCATTGAACATGAGTGGCGAAGAGCCGATACTGCCTCGCATACTCGGGACTCTTGAAGATGTAACGTGGGATCGGTTGCGTCTCGCTGTCCATCGGCGGCCGGCCAGCAAAGGTAACCGCAGTGGGTGCGTGATCACTAAGACCAACCTCGTGAAGCCGTTCAGGGAGGTCACGCGTTGAGAGCGCGACGTGCCACTGTATCGCCAGCCACGAGGGAGAGGCTAAGAACGCTCTGTCAATCTGCGACAGCTTCGGCGGCGAGCCTTCCTCTTGCCAGAAGTGCGTGGGAAGCTCATTGTCAAGCTCGACGAAGTCAGAGAAGATATCATTCCAGCGGCGCTCCAATGGCCGAGGCACAGCATCGTCCATGCGCACGAGGCCCTTGTTGATGAGGGGGTCTGGACCAACAGGGGCGGCGCCGCCATGATGTTGAAGTCGCCGAGCAGCAGCAACGCGACCATCTTCGGCGCCGACTGGGCCATGGCGATGTCAGACCGAATACGACGTTCGATCTTAGTCATCTCGTCGCCACTGATGCCGAAGTTGTGGGCGTTATACATAATGAGCGAAGGAGAAGGGGTGTCGGATGCAGGGCCTGAAACACGGAGTCGCTGAACTCGGCCAGTGACAAGAATCTCATGAGAGTATCTGGGAGCATCAGTGGCAGCGAAGCGCCCAGGGAGAATAATAACCGCTCCGCCAGTATCACGCCTGTCGCCAAAGTTCATGAAGACCTGAGCGTGGACATGATGTCGGTGAAGTTCTTGCATAAATGCAATGGCATTACCGTGCGCCTCCTGAATGCACATCGCTGTGCCCTGTCCGAGGTATGACAGCAGATGACGAAACTTGCGGTCCCTCGTGGTAGCATCATGATGCACGAGCGCACGAGCATTCCATGACCCGATCGCTGCGCACTCACGAAACTCGCCAGGATCTCGCCAGGGAGCGAAACGCGTGCTAAATAGCCCACTGGATCTTCTCGGTGGAGCCGAAGACTTCGTCGAATGACTGCTTGATGGCGTCACGAGGGAAGTTGCGAGCATGCACAGCACGATAGTTCCACTCAAGGATAGCCGGGTCCTCTGCCGTTTCGCCCACAACCAGCTTGATGCCTGGCTGCGAGCCGTCGGTGATGACACCTGCATGGCGGTTGGCACGCCAGCGCCCATCCACCCCAGCGTCTCGCACGAGCTCGAGGAGACGCTTCGTCTGGATCTCGCGGCGGATGGCCTGGGGAGATTTGTCCAGGCCGACGAAGATGGGCACCTGAGTGCCTCCCTCGATAGAGGCCGCTGTGAAGCGGCGCCATAAGCCGTCCTTCTTGAGCTTCTGGAAGGCCGAGATGACACGACGAGCAGCCAGTCCCTCAGCGCCCCGCATGCGGAGAATATGGCGGCGGCCAGGGGATGCCCCCTCGAGCGACCAGTGCTGATCCTCAATGTCGGTGTCCGCCAGCCAGGGACGCACACTTGCGAGGACCGCCTCCGAGGTGACCGCTTCCTTGGCCGTGATGACGAAGATGGACTTGTCGGGCTGCCTGCACCAGTCCGCCACGTCGCCGATGTGCTGGGCAGGTGCTGCCGCCTCACAGGCCGTGACCACCTTCTCCAGCTTCTCCAGGGCCTCGCGCATCTCCTGCTGGTCTCTCTGGATGCGCGACACGCCGCGGTCGAGATCCTGCAGGTGCTGGTCGATCTGCGCATTCTTGGCGGCCTGGCGCTCGCCGAAGACGCGGAGGGCGGCCGTGGTGGTCGCAGCGATGTTGGCAGACATCTTGTTGTTGGCATCGGAGACGTAACCGACGATAGAGTCGCGCATGGCACCCAGGATTTTCTCCAGCTCCGAGTGCAACACAGGCCCATCCACGCCCGTAGCAGGAGCGACAGCAGGCCGAGAAGAACCAGGAGCGCGGTGAGGGTGAGCTCTGTCACGGCCGCTGCTGCGTGGTGTCCTGGGGGTCGCTGGAGGAGTGGTGGCGATCGGCGTGGCCGTACCTTGGCACTCGTTCCCACGGGCGCGCCAGGGGTCAGCACTGGCGGACTGGAAGGGGTCGTCCGTGCCTGCACTGCGACTGCGGTCATCGCCCTCACGTGGGCTGCCTCGCCGTCGCTGCCCAGTGCCAGCACCACCAGAAGCTTCGCCAGCCTTGCCAGGCCGCCGAGACAGAGAGGCAACGCCATCGGGCATCCCACCCGCAGGAGAGAAGCGGACGGGGAACGTGGGCGGCGGATGCTGGGGCCCAGAAGGGCAGCACGAGTCTCAATTGGTGAGAGAGTCTTAGGCCTCAAAGCGCGAACCCCCTCGCGCTCATCAGTCGCCGACCGAGGCCGACTCGCGGTCGTCGGGCGGTTCATAGCCTTGAACCAAAATGGCTACGGACGTGTCTGTATAAGTGTATACGTGTGTACAACTATACATATATATATATATATGTGCATATGCATGTGTTGTATATACTTTTTAAGAGACAGACGCAATCAGAGAGGCCGCCGCGGAGAAAACGAAAGAGAGAGGAAGCAGGAGGGCAGAAACACAGAAAGGGAGGGATAGAGGAACGAAGGGAGAGAGGGAGAGTGTTAGAGAGAGAGAGATATAACAACGCAACGTGGAAGACGGAGAGAGAGAGAGAGACCTACATACACATATGTATATATATATATATATATATACATATACATATTCATATACATACAGAAGACATACACAGCGATAAGGAGAGATAAAACAACAGCACAACAAACAAGAGGGGGAGGGGGGAGGGAGGGAGAGATGGGGGAGAGGGAGAGAGAGAGAGAGAGGGATGTAAGTAGAGAGAGAGGGGGGAGAGAGAGAGGGAGAGAGAGAGAGAGAGAGATAAAAAAAAAAGCGATAGAGAGAGAGAGAGAGTGGACATGCAAGCAGTCGCGCCCACGAACCCCGCCCCCTCCTCAGGGAGGCGGGGCGGATGCGCGGAGGCTCCCTTGCGCGCTCGCGCTGCCGAGCTCCCGGCCCCCCCCCCGCCTTGCACCCGCCTCGGCTGCCCCCGAGAGGCACTGCCCTCCTCGCCTGAAGTCGGGCGTGTCCCCATGCAGGGGGATCTTGGGCGGAAAATAAGAAATACGCAAAGAATACCCTCCCAAAGGGCCAAACTAGTAAAAAAAAAAAAACGTCCCCAGATGCTTTGTTTTAACTATTTTTGGACATTCCTCCTGTAGAGGCACGGGCCCGACTTAATCCTCACCCCAGGCAGCCGAACCTGGGCCAGAAGAGCCCCCCTCGAGAACGTGAGGCCCTCCGCCGGCCCCCCCAAAAAAACACACGCGGAGGGCACGCAGGGGCTGCCTCACCCCAGGGACGCACCGGGGCCTCCAACGAGCACGGCGAACCGCAAAGGAACCCCCCTCGAGGTCAATCCGACACCTCGGCCCGCGGCGTGGCCCTACGAAGGACGGACCCCCGGGACGAGAGGAGGAGGAGGATCCCACGCCACTAGAGAGGAGGAGGAGGAGGAGGAGGAGGAGGAGGAGGAGGAGGAGGAGGAAGAGGAGGAGGGAGGAGGAGGCGGAGCCCCCGCACACGGTCCGTCGTGCTGCCCTGTAGGGGAACCCGAGGGGGCTCCCCTGGCCAAGGCGGGCCTCGGCCACGAGCAGGCCTCCCGACCCCAGGCCAGGGAACGGCCCGAGCACCAAAGTGCCCCTCGCCATCGCTCGGACGTCCATTCCCCGTGCGTTTGTCGAGTTCGTGCGTGCATTTTTCGCTGAATGATCAAAGATGCTCCTCGATGGTCCTCGCCGAGAAAAAATGCACACGTCCGAGCGATGCCAAGGCCCCTTCCCGCGCCCAAAGTGGTCCCTGCGGTGGGGGCATTGGATCAGGAACCCTTAGACAAGGAATCCAGGGCCTGGAAGCCAGTGGAACTCCAATCGTGGATCGGCCATGGATATCACCGCCGCCCTCATTGGATAAGGAGTCCTCCAGGATCTGGCGCCTCCTGGGACTACTCCTTAACGAACGCCTCCACCGTATGTTAGCGTCATGACGGCACTGATCTTACGCCTGTGGGTCTTGCTCTGCGCGGGGATCTCCCGCCAGACATGCTCGCAAGCATATTCTGGGAGCCCTTGCAGAGCGCCTTCAGAATTGTGGCGGCCCCCTCCGGAGCAATCCCACTTGAGGTGGCCCAGGCGCCGCTCACGTCGTGCTTCCCTTGGACGCCACCGTTCGGCCACCTAGCTCGGGGGACAGGCGGTGGCAGGCCACGAGGCATCTCGGACAGTCAAGGCGCGTGACCGAGACTATTACTTAGCTATATTGAGGCGCGGCTGGAAGGAGATAGAGTACAAGCTGCACAAGGAAGAGGCATCCCGCCATGTCCTCAGCAGCAGCCGCCCTTCTTCTTCTTGCTCTTGGCGCCTGTCTTCGTGCCTGTCACCTTCTTGCTTGAGAGCTTCTTGGGGGGACCAGCGGATCCGGTTCCTGTCATTCCTGTGGGCGCCGACGTGGCAGGCGCAACATCCGCCCCGGGCTTCGTGCCCGCGTAAGAATCTGACACCCCTGCCTCAGGCAAGCCGCTCGGAGCCCCCATGAACGGCGACATGGCTGCACCAGGCATGTGCATCTGCTGGGTCTGGCCCGCGTACATCGGGTAGGCCACCATCGAGGGAGCGCTCTGCAGCCCCATCTGCGGAGCCGCGACCATGGACGCCGCCGTGGGGAACTGGTACGCCGCGGGGGCTGGCACCTGCTGCTCGCCCGCATATTGGTAGGAGGGCTGCGCGTACTGATACGCCTGGGGCTGCGCATACGCCTGGGGCTGCGCATACGCCTGGGGCTGAACATACGCCTGGGGCTGCGCATACGTCTGGGGCTGCGCGTACGTGTACTCCCCCGGCTGCGCGTAGGTCACGGCGGGCTGCGCGTAAGACACCGCTGGTGAGGAGTACGCAACCTCTGCGGCTGGCTGCGTGTAGACGACGGACGGCTGCGCGTACGTCGCCTCTGGCGGCTGCGCGTAGGTCACGGCGGGCTGCGCATAGGTGACGGGGGCCTGCTCGTACACGGGTGGCTGCCCAGCGGCCACGTAGGTCGGAGGCGCGGCAGCCTGGACATAAGTCGTGGGGGCAGAGTACGTCACCGCCGCGGACTGCTGGTAGGTGCCCTGGGGAGCGTATGCGCTGGCGTATGTTGCAGGGGCTCCATAATATGCAGTCGGGGATGCTGTGGTTGGCTCGGCGGCGTACATCGGCGGCGCCGCTGCATACGCGTATCCCGTGGCAGACATCTCGAAAAGATCGAAAGCCCAAGGCGACGCAAGCTGGCTGGCGCGAGCTTGAACCCAAATATCTGAAGACTCTTCTGGGATCTTGGGCGTCAGACCTGGCGCTGCGCAGGCGCATGGCCTGAACCATTTGCGAAAGATCGGACGCCCAGAATCCGCCGACCCCGTGTGGCCGAACCCTTGTGACTCTCCAGGCGTGTGATAGTCCCCTCCATTATCCTCCCCCAAGAACCCAGAACTGGGAATCCCTCCCCCCAGGGCGCGTGACGACCCCCCTCCAGGAACGCGCCATGGGCGGATCCAGGCTCTTTGGGTGTTTTCTGTGGGCTTCGACGGATCGGCGAATAAAGCTCAAGGTGGCTTCCAGACGGCCCACGAGGCGTCCAACACGTCCCCAAAAGCCTGCAAACGCACTCCCCGTCCCAAGACGCAAGCACCATGTCATGTCCCATGAGAAGTCGTATAATCCTGGCAGATTCGAAACTTGCGCTCACGTTCCGAACTTTCCGACCCTAAAGGACCTCCGAGGCTGCCCTCAGGCACCCGAAAGGCCCCCATGAGGCCTAAAGTGGGCGGGCCCAACAACGGTGCCCAAGAGGCCTCACAACTGTCTCACAAGCACGGGCACAGAGGCGTGATGGGCCGAAGGCTATTAGGTATACATAAGTTCCCTTTCCTAGATTCCTACCATCTGAGATTTTGCCCCCTGAGCAGGAAACCCCGATCCCTGGCCCCAGGGGTCCACTGGACACCCTTGCAGAAGGTTCCCCGGGCTTCTGGGAGCTCTTGGAAGCCCCTGCTGGGCCCAGGCAGCGGGCCCTAATAGATCAGGAATGCTGCCGAACAGCCCCGCGAGGGCCCCAAGAGGCTCCAAACACCCACTAGACGCCCGAAGACGACCCAAAGAACACCCCCAAGAAGCTTTCGAAATGCAGAAAGACAATGATTTCCTATGATTTTTGCATGTTTTGGGGGATACTCTGTTCTTCTTCCAGACGTCCGAAACCGACCAAGAGGCCCGACAATAATGCCCAAACTATCCGAAAGGGCTTCCAAGCAGTCCAAGAGACCCCTAAACTGGCCCAACAGGGCCCCAGGATGGCTCGAAGAGAGCCCGACGGCCCAAGATAGCCCCAAGACGCCTCCCGAAGCATTCCAAAATGTGACCTGGTCGTTCAGGGAGACCGCAGTCGGAAGCAGGGTGGCTCGAGGAAGCCCCCAGAGGCCTTCAGAAGGCGCCCAGGAGGCCTCCTGAAGGCCCCAAACATCCATCTAAAACGTTCGCGAGGCCCCCAAGACACTCTCCTAGGAGGAGCCTCCGCAAAAAAGCAAAGGATTATGGGGAATAATTCGCAGGGCGAGAATGAGGAAGAGGAGGGGGAAACATGAGGGAAAGATAACCAATTGCATGATTATGACGACGATGTCGGACAAGGCAAATGTTATCGCTATTGTTTCTGCTTTAGTTGTTCAGCCCGTCCGCCGCGACTTCCGTCTGCACGCCAAGTTGCAAGGACAATGGCGCGTGGCGCGAGGCGCCAATGGAGTCTTGTATGTGTATATATATATATATATATACACATACATATGTCTGTAT